GTCCTCCTTTTAACAGACTCGCAAAGATATATCTACTGTTGAAGATCCATTTGATGCTCCAACATATAACATCCCTGAGAAGCCAGTGACATTTGTAGAAGGGGCTTCCTACACTGTATTCATTCTTGCAGGACTTGGAGTTGCTATTGCTGCGGCTTATGCAGTTCTTACTGAGCTTGTATTTGAACCAAAGGAGTAAGATTCTGACTTACCTCTATGTTGTTTATATGTTCGGTTTCAGTATCTGATTTGATTTTTTTCCCCATTATCTTTCAAGATTACTTTAAATGAGATGAATTTTGTGTCTTACAGGTATAAAATTTTTGGGAAGGCTCTGGAAAGGGTTCAAAATGATAGCCAAGTATGTCTTACCTGAAATTTTTTTAAGTGTTTCCAGTGGCATTGCAGGATCACCTCTACCATGAAAGTTAGAATTGAACAGTTCGACATAGTCAAGACTGTTATTGTGGGAGTTATTTTAGGTTGCATTAGTGTGGTTAACCTGAGAATTCTAATCTTTTTTTATCCGAGGCAAAAAATTTAGGACTGCATATGGTTATTAAGCATACTTGAATGGTGGTTTTGTGTTTTCCTAGATCTTTTATTCATGATGGTGTAGCAAGAACATGGAATAGATACGAGAATAATGATGATAATGTAAATGGACGGTTGTTTCGTACTTAAAGGTGAGGCTTAACCATTTTTCTGACTAAAGTCCAAGTTTTGGAAGTGGAGTAACAGGCTAGCTTTGGAAGTTAGGACAGGACACGGTTTATCTTTTTGAGAGATTTGATTGCTGCTTCCGTGTTTCTTTTAGTTGTTTTGGATTCTCTTATTTCTTCGTAAACTATAGCACGAATCAAGTTGATTTTGTGTGATTTTTCTCATTGATTATATCCTTCCTACTGCATCTTCTGGTTTAAGTGGCTTTAATTTGCTTTGCACCAGGTAAGGGTGAGAATTGGATCCCCCATAACTGGTTATGGTTCAGAAAGTAGGAATCGAGCTGCTCGCCAGCGCATTCCAAACAGGATATGGACCAAAGATGGTGTTGAGCATGTTGCGGTAAGGGTTCAGGAATAGTCCCTTGATTTCGGCATTTATGACTTATATATTATATTCTGTTTATCTTCTTACTCTACACTACAAACTTGCTTTTCATTAAGAAAAACAAGATATAGGCTTTGGTTACTGCATCTTCTGCTGAAAACTTGAAATTACAGCCATCTAATACTATAAGGATATCAGATTTGTGTTTTTTAAGTACGTGCTCAATTAAATGTAGGTTGATTTTTACATTCGCGGCCCCCATGGAGCTGGCAAAGTTTATGCAGAGATGTTCAAAGATGAGGACAAGCAATGGAAGTTTGTTTCTTTGGTGGTTGAGCTTACATCACCATCTCGGCAAATGCTTTTGCTGGAGTCATACATCCCAGCCTGAAAGGAGTTACATACATTGTTCGATCGGAAATTTGCTGCACCCGTGGATGTCAACCAGATTTCTATTACGTTGGATTTCTCCTGTTTCTTTTCATTCACCACCGAGTGACGGTATTGGAATGGGCTTTTTGATGTCCGAGGCAATTGGAATATATGGTAGCAACTTTACAATGTAGCACGGAATATTTAGCTGATCTGAAGGTAGTCTACACACTTTAGGGTTTGGATATCTGCCTTATTTTTTTTGTCCTCGTTGGCAAATTTTTTTGCCACCTCTTGAAGTTGGGCAGGGTAATTTATGGTGGTTGGCTGTTGTTGGGATTTAGGTTTATGTGAACTGGCAGACGTTGATTAAATGGGGTTTTCAACCCCCTCTCGTTTCATTTTTGTTAGAAGCTGTAGGATGGATTGATAATTCAATGTGGCATCTTTCTAATTCAACATAAGTTTCTTCCTCGTGATTTAACCCTTCTTATACAAGCTTGGCTTGCGCCATAGGCGTTTTCCTTCAGTTTCTAGCAATTTTTCCTCCCGTGATGGGAAGGAAAAGAAAAAACAAATTTGTTGTGAAATCAATGGCCTGGAGGATACATGTTTTTGCTTCAGGTCTCACTCTACCAATTGCCCTTGCCTTCCTAGAGACTTGCTTTTGTCCTACACCTACAGCTTCAAAACATTTTGGAGTCAGCTTAGTAATTGTTTTATTGAAAACGTTTTGTAGTTTGTATTCGACTTCCTTTGAAAGGACAACGATTAACTTAATAGAGAGAGAGAGAGAGAGAGAGAGTTATCACAAACATAATCTTGGAAGAAGCTTCCCACCATTGGTAAATGGCGGCAGTCAATATTATGATTATCGCTCCACTGAACAAATCCTAACAAGATTTTGCAATTTTTCCTACTGTAACCAACTGCTTAAGTTTATTAATCTACTGGACCATATGAATTTGTCCACGGACCACTTTTTTGTTTTTTTAATCACTGAGGAACAGATCAGCTTAAAACTAAAAGAAACGTTAAAATGGCCACTATCACATAAAAGTACACCTCCAAAAGCATCCATTCAGAGGGATTTTAAAACAACAGTCATCATGCACTAAAAATGCACAAAATCGTCATATTGCTAAAGGAGAGAGTACTTCTCAAGAGAGATTGCTTCTGAGCTCCACTACCACGAAGGATTAAAAATTCAATGATGAGCTTTGTGTTTGCGAGCACTTCAGGGCAAGATCAGGAAGGGAGATCCTGAATGCCATAGGTTTGCCATGACATAACCATAATTAATTGTCTTGTGCTCTTGGTCGTATTCCAAGCCCAGACCTTATATTTGCACCTAGAGTCTTCATGTCATCCACCTAAAAGATTATGACAGAGAGATACTCTGTGATCAGATTACACAATAAACAATCTATCTGGATGGAACACGCTGACAATAATGGCCAATAAGCATGAGCAATGCTGATAGGATAGAATTTCAGATCAACAGCATTAAATTTGGCAAAGATGATGATGCTCTATAAACACCTAGTTGTGACCATTAAAGCACTAATATACAGCTGGCAATGGTGCAGAAACGAGCAGACATGAACATAACAGAAACTGGACCACAATCCCCAAACTAAAAAGAAAGAGGGCAAAAGAAAGAAAATCCAGATAAGAGAGAAAAAGGCAATATAGTTATCTTGATTCTCTGATTTATTCAACACGACAATGCCCAAACTGTTAAAGTTGAGAATAACAAAAGCAAGAATGCTTGCTTTGGCCCAATGAAGGTTGCTTCAACAGAAAGGTGATACCCACCTTTTTGCTTCTTATTTCAGCCAAGTAATTAGGATTAGCATTCATTTCTAGAGGCACGGTTCTTGCAAAGCTTCCACTACTGCATACAAAATTACCCAACGTCCCATATAGAAAGGATATAGGGTGCAGAATAAAACACAATTTCCAGATTCAATGTTTCCACGATTGAACGTTAGTAGAATTGATCTGACAAAACACAATAACCAATTTCCAGAGCTAAAAATGTGACAATCACTTTGCAAAATCTAACCTTTTATGAAGAGCCAGGGACACATATCACAACATTTACTAATTCATTGACACACGTCACAACCATAACTCAATAGTACTCCTCTTCTGGCTGGAGAAAGATACTGAACTTGATGAATTTCAGCTTCATGTAAAAAATACATGGAGTAATATTTATGCCCTGTGGTAGATAGGTAAGGAAATAGCTTTAATTGGAAGAGACTACAAAAATTATGGCTACCTAGACAACTGAAATCCAAAATCCCAACTATCCTGAACTCGTATAGGTTATAGTGATGTCAACACAATTTCCTTTACCAAATATCTCATTTCACCAGGCAAATGCACCCTAGAGTTCAAAAAGAAAGTACTTTTCGCTTGTTTACAAAGCAAAATCTAAAAATTAACGGGAGTAATTGATAGTTCAAACTTCCAAGACTGCACCCTTCACTGCAATTGCAACCAAAATTTCTGAAGTAAATAGACAAAGAAAGAGAAAGAGAGTTACCGAGTGGATGCCAGAGGCTCGGAGAGAACCGATGGTGGCGGAAGCGGCGGAGCCAACGAAGAGGGATGCCACGCCGAAGGCTTTAAAAGGCATTAAACTAGAATCGCCTGCATAACCTCGCCGGAGAGATAAAATAGCCCATAATAATTGGACCGAACTTGCCCCCGCCCAATACCAGTAGCCTTCTACGCCACCGCTCCACCGACGAGGACCATCACTCTCTTCATTTAGCTCCATCTCATCTCCGTCCATCCGCCATTTCCCTTCTTCTCCTTCTAAAGCAGTTTTTTTATTTTATTTTTCTTTTCTATTTCTTCTTCACTCCCCGCCGCGGTTGAATCTTGGACCATAAGATTTGGGCTTTGGCCCTGTTCTCTTTCGGCTACAAATTAGGTCCACATGCCAAAAGTCGGGAAATTTGATACATCTGGACACAGAGTATTTAACCCCCGGGTCTCTCATATTTTGTAGGTTTGAGCCTTTTGTTATCTTTGATCTCATCATAATTCTAGTGGGGGTTTCTTAAACTTAAATATATTTTGATTTGTTAGGTTTTTGAATTTTTGTTTAGTTGCTTCACAATGGAGTATGATAAGCATTTGGGATTGTGGTTAAAGTTATTTTGCCCTTTGTGAGGTTCTAAATGGCATGGTACTTAATGAGAACACATACATTTAAAGTTATCTATAAATAATTACATGTATTCAAAAACAAAAATTTATTCGAATTCCTAAATGCGTGTGTTGGTTGGCAAAGTACCACCCAAAAATCAAAAAGGTCTGGAAGTTTTGAGATTGTGGCCGTGGATTAGGGACTTTTGGAAGTTCAATATAAGTCTTAGCCGTTATTATCCTTCAAAACAAAGTGAGGGCTCACCCAGTTCTCCAGGTATCTTATCCCGGCATTTAAACCAAATAAAGAGTTTCACGACTACTCATCATATCTTGCCCTTCTTAGCTCAATCTTTAAGGTAGCTCTTCGCGTTTCAAACAGGATTTCCTATATATGCTTGAAAGAACATAAATGCGGAATTCGGTTATATTTGATTCCACAAATGGGCAACCATAGTAATTGATCTTTACCAACGCCAAATTAGGGCTACATGCCTCGTGTCAATACATTCCTATTTCGAAGATTCTAGATAAAACAGCATGACAACTACAAAAGCAAATACTTAAATGCAAAAAGGTGTCTGGTACATTCCTAATCCATAAATGGTATGGTATTAACTACATTCCCCTCGTTCATCTTGCTCAAGGCCATAACCCAGCAGGCATAGCATGCATTGTTACAGGAGCACAAGTTGAATACAGGCTCGTGCAGCTCATTCAGCTAGGGTACTTGGAAATTGAGCGTGATGGTACCATCTAATGGCAATTGAAATGCAAGCACCATTGTACTACGTCAAGATGTATATTCCAACAGTCGACGGACTGCACGGAACAAATAACTTGGAAAACTACACGGGCAAAAAAGTTGCATCTGGATAGAGAGAGCAAAAACAGACTAAAAAGATGGTTACCCCGGTACAGAAAATGGTGAAGAGCTACGACAGAGGGAAGGCAAATCAGTAACATCAAAGCACGGATATTCTTCAGTCATATAGCACATTACAGTACCCTGAAGAACAAAAAATAGCTTTCAGAATGCAAAGCCAGAGGTATCTCCTCATTAAGAAAACAACTGCACAGGTAGAATAAGCTTGAGAACATATTCACAACTAACGTATCTGCCAAGTGCAAGCATAATATTATCATAAATAGGTGATAAAATTCCAAGCTACAGTGTCTTTTAATAAGAAGATGAGGTAAAAAGTGAAATCATGGCAAAGAAAGCAACACTGGAAGCTGAGACTTCGGTGAAATATGGTTCAAGCATCTAATTTCTGTTCATGCATGTGCTGGTAAACGAATCTTGAAATTCTTTTCCAACAATACCTGTCATCAATTGGGTATGACAAAAAAAAAAAAAAAAAAAAATCTCTAGATGAATGAGTTCAAGCAAACTACAAAAACAACAGATTTCAAACCAATAAAAGATTCTTTTCCGACAATCTAACCATTTGCCTTTCAAAGAAATCAACTGCCAGGGCCAGCCAGACCTGCCTCAGCTTTAAAATCCTCCATATAAACTCTCAGCAGAATTTGGATTAATCAGCCTGATCTTCGCCACACGCTAAAAAGAATAGGAATTTCAATGGCATTAAACAGCAAGACAACTACCTCAGGAACACTAGGTAAACTTTAATATGACTAACCCTTTGGTTTCTCAGTCTAACGCTTCAGCAAAATAACCAAAAAGCATACACAGGGTTCAGTCCACAGACAGATTTTTGTGTTTAGAGTATTAAACTGCAGTACCAAAAGCCATGATCAGCTCTCAGCATACTATGAGAACAAAAAAGTTGGACAATATAATTAGTCCTAATTATTATCAAACTATTCAAAGGATGTCAAAGATGACAAATATAAGGTTATAACATCAACAGTAATTGCAAACGATCACAGAGGCCGACATCTCTACTAGATGGTCTAGGATAACCACATTCATCAACCAGGAAACACGTTGTTATGTCTTGACATATCAGAAGCCATCAAAAAAGAAGATACCAACAAACAACAGCATAATCAAAATTTGATCACAAATAAAAAGCTGTCAATTGATTCTATATAAGCAACATAGAACTGAAGAAAACTCTATTAAGTTATCCAAAAATTCATATGTACATCTGCAACTACTAACATATCAAACTACGTTCACCCAATTCTCTGACTGCCCACAATTAGATAAAGCAAAAGAAAACAGCAAAAGCTAGCCACATGATGGAAAAGAACTTATTCCCCCGACCAAAAACTCCCCTTTTATCTATACAAGTCAGTGCTGCTGATTATTTCTTCAGATTGCATCAAAAAATTGCAGAAACCTCCATCACTAGGACAATCCCAAAAGATGTTACCTAAGCTAAGCCTGCAAACAGAAAATCATGCTGTCAATCCCATATATCAAACCAATCCAACAAGGCAAGAGCTCGTAAATGGCAATAAAAAATTATACCTTTCCAGGGTGTTCAGAAACTTTATATGAATCCGCAGTTATAGATTGCAACCAAGCACCTGGAAACACATTCTGCAGCGAAACAGACAATCAAATTGTCAAATCCCAAAAAAGCAGAAGAATAGGAAACAAAGAGGCCAGAAATATTATTTTACAGAATACGATCAGATTAAGGTTAAACTTTTGACTTACATCCATTAGTTTCTGAACAGTTTTTGATCTCTTCTTAGGTCTCCTAGAAGGCTTAGATCCCAGTAAAGCAAACAAATCCTCTTCAATCTCTTCTCTCGAGAGGGCAAGTGTGAATCCAATCTTCCTCTTCTCCTTCTTCTGATTCTCTGATCTATTACCACTGTTGGGATTCACCTGCGGTGATTGAGCTCTTTTTGCGTGCTGCACTGTGGATCCATTGTTCTTAAAACCACTTCCATTCAAATTCAGCGACGGCCTTATTGGTTTCCTTGGCCTAAAATTCCATGTCTTTTGCAACGGCTCGTCGTCATCAAAACTAGCCAGTAGCTTCCCCTCGTCCTGAACCTCATTATCCTGGACTTTTACCTCAGCTTTTCCCTCCTCTTCAGGTTGAATTTCCTCCGCAAACTTGCTGGCTTTCTGCCGGATTTTAATCAGAAACTTCGAAGATCTGCTTTCATTATTCTCTGCCTCTGCCTCTACCCCTGCCCCTGCCCCTGCCCCCTTCAATTTTCTCTCATCTCGATCAGGCGATGATGTAAATGCTCCATTCTTAACACCAGAAGAAACCGAAGATCTAGAGTGCCTCCGGTACTCAATTAAAGGCTTGCTGCTTTTCACACAAGACTCCAGCTTTCCGGTTCCATTGCCACGGACCGGAGACTGATTCAGTAGCGGCGCAGTTAATTCATCTGCGCCATCTCCATGTAGCATCGGAGACGCCGCTGAGTCCTCGCCGCCGAGCATCGCTGCATGACGAGACGGAGATGATGCAGCAACTGAGTCTGCTGCGCTGCGCAAGGGAGAGTTAAGCGACTGCCTCCGCGGTGGAGAATCATGACTGAAAGGCGGCGATCGGTGAGGCGAGCCGGAGGCAGATAGCCTGGCGGCGGAAGATGAAGCCGAACGAGGACGTTGGTGATTGCCTTTCCATTTCAGGTGCGACAATGAGAAATTGTGAAGCGGCTGAGATTTCGCCGGCACCGTCGACGCCATTGATCGAAACAGTAAATCTCCAGCAGAAGTGTCTGAGTGCGAGAGAAAGAGAAAAGATTTTGCAGAAACTGAATTAAACAAAAATAGGGCTAATCTGTAACAAAGTTTGAGGAGATAGATTTAAGATAGATTTGCTTCATGGATAGATTGGGTTTATTAAATGTGAGAATCTAATTCTAATCCTACTTCTAATTGCCTAAAAAGGATCGCCAAAAACCCTAATGTAAGGCAGTCTAGTCTAGTGCGTGTGTGTGTGTGTGTGTGTGTGTTTTGCGCCCAGGAAGGAAGGGAAAGAGAGATGGCTTGGAGAAGAGGTGAAAGTGAGGAGACGGTTCTACATAAACAAAGATACTACCGCTACTACTGACCAGGTCAGAGAGTCGACAAAGAGGATTGGCATCAATCAAAATCACAATCAGATACTATAAGAAATTTCCGAGTTGGATTTGTATTAGTGTTGGAATTAGGGAGATTTATATCTAGATATTCTTTGTAGTTTTCAAACGTTAGGCCGTGTTTGCGTTGTTATTTTAATGAGTTTTTGTCAAAAAAAATATATATATGCCGTAAATGATTTATGATTAGAAAAGACGAAAATTTTTCATCAAAAAATCACAATCTAACGTTGATTGCCTTTATGCTCAATTGCATAAGGGCGTAAGTAGAGTTTTCAAAATTAGAGAATAATGCTCAATAAATGCTCAATTGCATTTGTTTGCATGGGCTTTTGTATAAATACCGGTTGGATTTGACCATGGTTAAGTGCATACCTACATAAGTAGTGTTTTCTTTGTATGGATTTGTGTATTTGATAAGATATGAAGTTAAATTTTTTTAATTGTATTTATATTTTTACTGAGTTCATGATACGAAGGTCGAAGTTTATTTTCATTTTTTGAGACATAAAAATTTATTAGCATAAGTATAAATGTGATCTTTTATTGAAGTGTTTTCTTTTTGTTTTTTAAACCAAAACTCTACTCCTAACTTTATAAAACAATGTATATGCAATACTGAATATCTTAAAAATATTTCTATATATCACCCAAAAAGATTTTTTTAATAAAAGTACCGTAATTCCAAATTATGTTGAGACCACCCTTTCCAAATATTTCTACTTGTTTTCTGTTATTGAGGCTGAGACTGCCAAGTGACTTGGCCTTTTACGAAACTCCAATTTAAACCTCTAAAATGAGGAAGACTAATAAGTCTTGTTCGGATTTTGATTAAATTAGTTAATGAAGTAATTTTGAATGAGCTTTTTTTTTAATTGAAGTGGACTTAAAAGAACATAGGGATATAGATACATGCCAAGGATTGTATATTCTGCTGGCTATGTGAAAAGAAGATTTGAGGAGAATCAGAAGGGCTTCCATTTGTCATGAAATGCTGGACACGGGTCATATAGCTGTTTAACTTTAAGGGAAAACCGCCAATTTAGTTCTTAAATTATTTCACTAAAGTCGATTTGGTCCCTTAATATTTTATCGCATGAATTAAGTCCCTTAACTAAAATTCTTGTGCCAATTGACGACTTATATGGTGTCACCACCCAAAACACATGTTTCCGTACACAAATCAACGGCCACGCAGGGGCTTTTTTGGAAGTACACAATAGAATTTCTACGAGAAGCAAGACACCGGCCATTTTGCATCCAAATTGAGGGAAACCTTTGAAGCGAAATCGGAGATTTCACTCAATTCCACTCCTCTTCTAGATGTCATTCCGTCTGTGTTTTTAGATCCAACGCTTTTCTTGGATCTCTCTCCATCCAGTCCCTATTCACTGATCTCGATTTCCCATGATAACCAGCCTAGATAGTCACCTGTTTGTTGCTCTGAGAAGAGGACGGAAACCTACCTATGGTCCAAAACTCTAAATCTGAAGGATTGTTTTCGGGTACTTTATTGCTTATTTGCATCCAAAGCCTTGAGCTTTAGGTGAAAAATCTTTCTGGGTTTTGATCAGTTGAGAATTGTACCACGCCATCTTGATTCTTGGGCTTCGGTTACATGTGCTTTAAAAGTCAAAATCTACAATGAATTCAGTTTTTAGTATTACATTTGAGGCTAAAAATATAAGTTTTGGTTATGTTTGATTTGAAGTCTGTTCTTTTTTGTGAATTAATTTTAAAAGGGTCGTTCTTGCTTTCTAGGAATTGGAGGTTTTTGGAAAGGGGAAAAAAAGAAAAAGATTATCTTTGTTGTTTGGGAATGGTTGATGGGTTTGGGTGGGTTCTTCAAGATATGTATTCTGCATTCTTTGATGGCCTTGAGCTGTGGAGGTGTGATGATGTTCCATAGTTACGAGTTCCTTGAATTTAGCCACGGAAGAGACCGTGCCGGTAAGTTCGCAGGATCAACGCCTCATGATCAGCTGTTAATCCGAACTTCGGATTCATTTTCAGGGTTGTTATTGTTTGCAATTGGTTTTCTCTTGCTCATGGTAGCTTTTGTAAAGGATAGGGACTTTCAAAGTTATTTTGCCAGGAGGTGTGTGTTTCTCCATTCTCGGCCGCAATTTGGAGAATATACTTCGAGAGAAAGCTTGAAGTCCTCGACCGCTGCGATTGGCTTCAAAGGTTTCCCCAATTTGGATACAAAATGGTCGGTGTCTCGCTTCTCATAGAAATCCTACTATGTACTTCCAAAAAAGCCCCTGCCTCGTCGTTGGTTTGTGTACAGAAACATATGTTTTGAGTGGCAACACCGTATAAGTCCTCAATTGGCACAAGAATTTTAGTTAAGGGACTTAATTCATGCGATAAAATATTAAGGGACCAAATCGGCTTTAGTGAAATTGTTTGAGGACTAAATTGGTGATTTTCCCTAACTTTAACCCTTGGAGGACAAATCCATCGGCTTACAATTAATTAGCTTCCTTGCACTAAGTGTGTTTGAATTGCATATTATTTCCACCTTATTAACATACACTGACTTGTTTGCATCATTAACACATTTTTTAATCACCTTTTCATCTCACATACATCACATCAAAAAAGTGTTACAATATTTTTTCACAAAATTATCTCAAATAATTTACTATCCAAATTGTGTTATTTGAAATAATTACTGTAGCATTTTTTGTGATGTAATATATGTGAGATAAAAAGATGGTTGAGAATTTAAAAATGTGAGTTAAAAAATGTGTTTATGATGCAAACGAAATATTATTTGGAAAAATTTGGTATCCAAAATCTATTATTTCTTTGACCACAAGATACAAGCTCGTTCACATAATCATTAACGTTGGTCTAGCGATCAGGAAGAATTTTTAAAATTGTCTCCACTGGCAGATTTAGAATTCAAACACTGGAACCCTTAGAGCTGGCAGTTGGAGAAAATAAAGGTATGTGAATGCTAATGGATGAGTAAAGCTGAAGTGTGAGTTCATCAATGAGTTTTATCATTTACGTATGCATATTTATTTAAGGTGCATGTTTCTCGTTTAGTAGGAGGAAAAAGACTGGAAATTAAATGTACATTTAACTGCATCGCATCTAGTTTTTTTTTTTTTAAGCTACATTTAGTTAGTTTAAAGATAAATATTGAAGTGGAATAGTGTCCTGAAGAGCATTCATGATGCACATAAATCATTTTTGATGTATGTACCACTAAAACATTGGTGATTTAGTCTTTGTCTTCAGAGTCTCAAACTAGAGGAATAACTTGTGATACACTAATTTATTGCTTTTAAGTGCATCTAGTGCTTTAATCTGTAGATATTTTATGATCAATAATAATTGAGGTCACATAATATTTCGGTTGTTTATGTAACATCAAAAACAAGTTTTAAATTTTGTGTAACGAATACTATAGAATGCTCAATCTTGAATCACATACATTCTTTTTTTTTTTTTAGTATAGAAAGAATGATAATTGCCCCATATTATATTGTAGGAAAAAATGGCTTTTCCTTCTGTTTTTGGCAATGTCAACTTGTCAATTGATTTTAATGCTACCACACTATTTTGCGTACCATAGATACACATACTTACCTTGTAATGTTTGACAGAGCATCTAATCCAAAAGGGTTTACTAAAAATGTTTAAAAAGAATTAATTGCACTGTTTATTTGAAAAATACATGTACATAGCTAAAAACAACGACAGAAAGAATTGTTCACTCCAGATAAATTGTTGCTAAAATCACCTTTGTTAGCAAAAAAAAAAAAACAAATCTATTGCCGAATCCACTATGACTCTATAGTATAATGATGATCCTAGCTAGTATTAAGAATAGGGATAGTTTTAGAAACCACCCTTGAGGTTTCTGACAATTTCGCTGACCTCCCCTGAGGTTTCGAAAATAACACTGACATCTCCTTAACTGATTTTGGGCCCCATTGCTGATGTAACCTGGAATGAATTTACTGTTTTGCCCTAATGCATAAAAGGGTGATAAGAACGAATTTCTAGAAAAATATAATTATGTCATTAAATAAATGAACTAATTAAATGATATTAACCGTGGTTCTATCTCTAATAAGTCAATGTAACTGCACTTAAGAAATGGCACTAATTGATGTACCAATATGATGCCATTTTCTCGTGATTCGATATGACTTCAGAGAGCAACACAAGGACAGTCTCATACGAAGACTTAGGGAAGATAGAAAAATTGAGGGAAAGGAAGGAGAAAAGCATGGCTCCCTTCAGGTTAAAATCTGCTGATTTGCATTAAGATTATTGACATGCTACCCACTCATGCTTTTGTATATGGTTGGCATTAGTGACAAACAATCAATGGTCATGAAATTTGGCTTTGCAATCCTTACCACCTGCTTCATTCTTTTGGGGCAGATGGTGTTTTGAAACTACATTGAATTGCGGCAATAATTATGTAGTACTACAACTGCTATAATTATAGCAATTTTGAACTAACGTCAAGTGACTTATGTTGTCTTACTAACTAGTTCAGCTAATATGTTGTTGCTTATTATCTCTTAGTAAAGTTACAATAGTAGTCATCAAATAACAGTCATATATTTCTTTCAAATACAATCCAACTGACAAGTACTACTGGTTTAGTTCTTATATAATTAGAAAAGACTTAAAATGGCTGGTACAATGTCGTGGCACTTTTACATTTGTTACAAGAGTTTATCCAATTGATTTTATAATTTGGATGAATATAAATACAACACCTAGTGTGATATTTATGATGAGTATCAAGTTAGCTATAGCCTTTGGTTGTTCCAGCCTTGCCACTTTTTATTACCTCAAAATCAGATGATCACACTAAAAATAAATTATTTCTTGAGTTGCTTCAGCCATTTATATGCTTTTGAAAGAAACTAAAAATATGGCCATTGCAATAGCCATTGGTGCAAACTGAAACTTCAAGTTGTTGCTACAACACTTTTTCTAATAGCTCTTACAACTGCTAAAATTTACTAAT